ACTGGTCACACGATAATGTAATTATTTTTTATTGTTATATTACTTTTTAATTAGTTGAAGACAGGATCCTCCACATGAAAGTAGGTATGAGCTAATAGGGTATTTATTCCCTTGATGCATTAAGAAATTTTAAATAACATATAAACTTCCTGACTCTGGAAATGTAGATATATCTCATCACTGCTCCTTTTAAATGTAAAAAGCAAGAGTTTCAAGAAACACCTGAAAATGGCTCAAGATGTATCTTGGAGCTCAGGTAACAGTTTGTGTCTTCAGAGGCTGCAGTCCGAGGTTTCCCGGCCATCCGAAACGCTGCAGCATTTATGCAGCCCCGGTGGAAAGCGCCTTTGGAAGGGACAGCTCCGAGCCAGCGTTTGCGTGTGAGACAGCGACATCCAGTGCTGAGCTGGGTTACCCGCCGCGAGCGACAGGAAAGCACCAGTGCTTTCTACATTTAAAGTATGGCAAACATATTTTAGAATATTTAAAAATATTTAAGTAGAGAAATATACACAGTGTTTCTGTTCCCTAAATAAAAACCCCATACTTTGATATATTAATTATAAAAATGGTGTGTTCACCTGAAGTGAAATTTTCACTGAAGAATCACAGAATGGGTCACACTGGAAGGGACCACAGAGAGTCACCTTGGCCAACCTCCTTGCTCAAGCAGGGCCACCCTAGAGCACATTCTGATAGCATTGAGAATGTTTAATCAAGCTTACAATAAAAGTATGCAGAAATGTCTAGCTATATTTGAAGATAAAGAACATTTCCTACACTACACCTGTATTTGAATCTTGTTCAATGAATCACTACTCCTCTCTTTCCTGAAAATCTCAGTTCCTATAAAAATGGAGCTCAAGATCTTAGCTTATAATTCTCAACAGCCACAAAGTAATTCTTTGTAAACTCTTGCTCCATTTAGGATTCACAGCCACAGCAGATCACCATCGAATTCAAACACAGCTTTCCTGTAGATCCCTCTTTTCAAGAGCCAGCTGTTGAAAAGCACTAAGACTGTACTTGAAAGTTCTTTGTTTATACACTCAAGGATATTCTTTGAGAATACACTCAAGGATGTAGAAGACTTCAGTTCAGTACTGGTTCTGTGCCTTTTGGAGATAGGTGGGATTTTTATTGGTGATGGAGATCAATGTATCTACTAAGCTAGGAAATACTGCTGAGAAAGAGACATTTAAAATCTCTTTTTGAATCTGTTCCATTTTATCTATAATCATGAGATTCACTGGATCAAAACGAAGCTAAAATACATTCCACATTAAGAATATGATATTTCAGTGGGTATGGAAAAAGAGAGCATTCTAGGTTCTCATTTTTGGAAACTCATCTCAGTTATTTCTTTTTTATAGGAAACAAGGCCAACCTCAAACTCCAGCAAGTTTGCCAATTAATTTCTGACAATCTGTCTTTTCAGAGATTATCATTATTTCACAGTGCAACAAAATTACCTTCTACTATAATAAAGTTGCCAGTTTAATATTATTTTCTCCCTTGTAATGTTTCTCCATGGAGCTGACACCGTGCACTGTCATGAAAAGACACATTAAGGTAGGCTGAAGATTTGAGTCACTGTCTTCAAGCTACACAGACCAGTAACAAATCACCTCAGTCTTGTCTCACTCTCCAAAGGATCCAGTTGAGCAGCTACCAGTTTTCTGTATGTATGTTTGAAAAGGAAATATACTGGCTCTTTCACAAGCAACCTAAATTCAGGTTTCCCAATTAAAAGCAAGGGTATTCCACCAGTCTTAAACATCTGGCTCTCCTTTGTTTATACATACAAATTCTAAGTAGGCAGAACAGTCTCTAAATTCATGATCTAATTATTTTGGTTTGTCAGCAAATAGGCCCATGGTTAATGTTATGTACAATAACATTATGTGCCATATCATAAATCCAGACTCATGATGAAAAGAAGTCACGCTTCACCTACTGATGGCTTCTCCTATGGTTTATATCTACTTGAAAATAAAAAAAAACAGAAAGCAAACCAACAAACAACTTCACCTTAAACTTAGTGTTTCTTAGGCAAGTTTAGTTAGAGGAGATCACAGATAAATTTGTGTCTTTTTAAAATGTTGTAAATGGGAATATTTTTCTGACAAACACACAGGCCCATGCAAAACAAGAAAGTAATCCAAGACAGCCAAAAGGTCTTCACTAAGGGCAAATCCTGTCTGACCCACCTGGTGGCCTTTATGATGGAGTGATTGCAACAATCAATAGGGGAAGACCAACAGATATCATCCACACAGACTTCTGCAAGGCCTGTGCCCAGTCCCACACATCGTCATCACCGAACTGGAGAGACACGGATTTGAAGTGTGGACCATTCTGTGGATGAGACACTGGCTGGATGGACACAAGCAGAGGACTGTAGTCCACGCTGACATCCACGTGGAGGCCAGTGACAAGTGATGTCCCTCAGAGCCCTATTCTTTCCATTGGTGCCCTTTAATGCCATTAACACAATGAGATCCAGTGCAAAGTCAGCAAGTTTGCAGATGGCACAAAGCTAAGTGGTAAAGGTGACACAAAGGAGGAAGGAGTGTCATCCAGAGATGTTCAGCCTGGAGAAAACTCCATGGAGACCTGGTTGCAGCTTTTCAGTATTTAAAGGGTGGTTACAAAAAAGAGGGAGAGTGGCTTTCTATGAGGACATGTAGTGATAGAACAAAGGAGATCAGCTTTCAACTAAAAGAGGTTCCGATTAGTTGTTAGGAAGAAAGTCTTCATTCCCAAAATGGCAAGGCCCTGGTTGCCCAGGGAAGCTGTGGATGCTCAAGGCCAGGTAGGATTAGGTCTTTAACCACCCAGTCTAGTGGGTGGAATCCTTGACCATGGCCGGTATGTCAGAGCTAGATGATCTTCAAGATCCCCATCAACCCACATGATTTTGTGATACATGGAAACCACATTTTTGTGTTAGTGAAAATTTATCTCACCTGTTAGATTTACATACTGTAGTTCCAGGACTCAGGGAAGGTTTTGAACTCACAATTTTGAGACACTTACCCTTCAAAAAAAATACTGATACAATTTTTGAATTTGGAGCTGTTTATATTTTCATACAGCAATACTTCTAGAACACAAAAAAAATGCCATCATGCTTTTGAAACCAAGTGTTATCCATCTTTTTGCCAACATCACACACAAGATAGGCAAAATAGCAAACTATTTGGAGAAAATTTGCCTTGGATGTACTAAATAAGGCACACTGTTTTCCACTGCAAGACTCGTTGCTCAGCTGCTCTGAACCTCCTCACTTACTGCTAATCAAATTCATACACTTCACACTGTGAAACAAAGGTTACTTGCTAACAGGTGGTATCTCCATATGAAGTATTACAGCTTCAAATGTGTGATACTAAAACAATTGTGTGCTGATTTTTTGCAGAACAGTTATCAACAGCAAAGTCAGAAACACAACATTTGAGTGGTCATGCTTAGGGCCACGTGTGAAAATTGCAACTCTCCCCATCAAATTGTAGGAGCAATGTGGGAGATGATTATGGGGAGGGCAGGGCCAGAATGCCTTGGGAAAACACCATTGTCTAAATTATGGTGAGGCACTGACACAATTCCCCACCACCCCTTGTTGTTAATGCAAATGTGCTGTCAGTCCCCAGTTATGTACTTCCCAGTTCCCTCCCTGCTTTCCTACTGCTGTTTCCCTCCAGCTGTTCCTGTACCCCGCAGAGGACTCTTTTTTTTTTTTTCTGGTGTGGCGACAAGTACAGCATCCGGGCTCGGGCGTCTGGTGGGCTGGGGAAGTTGTCATTGCGGACCACCATGGGGTCACTCCTGGTGCTGCAGGCACTCCGACAGCACCTGCCTGGGGAAGCTACAGCAAGCCATCCACAGAGCAAGGCTGAACGTCTGTAAACCAGCCTGAGAGGACAACATCCTGTGTCTATGAAATCAAAAAGGTCTGTTCTTTGGTCCTGGTGACAGCTGCCATAGCCCACCTGGCAGTCATTTGGACAGACTCTCTTCACTCCCTCCCAAAAAGCACGCGTTATCTACAAGAATATTTGAGATTTCTCCATTCAGTCGGCACCACCCAACACTGCACCAAGAGTCACAGCAGAATGGTCAGAATGGCAAAACACACAAACCTCCATCTCTTTAGTTTGCTAATATAAAACAGTCAAGCTGCCAGTAGCTCTGGATGGAGCTATGAGTGGATAAAGGAATGCCAAAGAGGCATGGGAAAGGTAAAGATATGGATCCAACACTAACACTTCATTGCCCTTTCAGCAGGATTTTCACTTTCTCCCTGTTAGGAGACTTGCAAACTCTGTATGACATGCAGATGTTCTCTTCCTCAAGTCCCTGTCTCCTCTCTTGTGAAGACTATTCAAGTAATTAAAATCAGTTTCACAAACACTTCCTTAGCTTATAAACTTACTAGTGTTCTGCCATTCTGTACCCAAATGTTTTTCACATTAGTGTAGTATCAGTTTTGTAGATCATCTTTCCTGTTTTAAATGACACCTATTTTAGAACAGAACTGTGCATCTCCACACAAAGATACAACTTTTGCTAAATATGGACAGTCTTCATGGTGTCCACACCCCTTCTCAAATTACCTTAACTCAATGAAGACAGGCTACTTGAAGCAAAACTAAAGCCTTCTTCATTATTATCTACTTTTAATTTTCAGTAATTTATTTAAAAAAGCATTAAAAAGAGAAAAAAAGCATTAAAAAGAGAAAAAAAGCCTGCATGTAACATTACTAAGTTTCTTCCCTTTCTGTTCTACAAAGAATAAAATAATCAAATTTTCATCGAGTTTTATAAAAAATGGTTTTATCTAGAAGCCTTAAAAACATGAAGTATAAATTGAAAGAAATGCAGAGATAATTTTGAATTATTTACACACAATAAACTGGGGAATGTGCCAAACTGGGAATTTTTATGGGAAATAAAGAAGGAAAAAGTCTGATTAAAAATGAACACAAATTAACTCAAGATTCAGTGAGTGGATAGTTTTATTTATAAAATGTCACTGGCACACAGTACACATAGGAAGTATGAAACTTGATTTATAAAGAACTGAAGTGCTTCACAGAAGCATGGATTCCTGAGTTATCCTGAATCTCTCATTTACTGTAATTCACAACACAGCTCAAATTGGTTTAAGCAGCAGAATAACTGATACTTGATAAGCACAGAATAAAGGCATAGTAAAAAAATACACAGGCAAATAGAAACTGGAAGATTGTGTCTCATCAATACTAACAGCCTTGGTCATGGAGGAAAACAATCATATGCTGAAGGGCACAAAGACCTGTTAAGACTGGTTTCATAATTTCACAGCCAATTCCAATGTACTGTAGATACCTGCTTTCACCTCAATGTCCACAACCACGATTACAAAGTGCTCTTGACATCAGACACAAAAATAATTCTGTTCCTGCATACCCATACAGAAGGATTGATTACCCAGACAGGCATTATTGCAACTGAAGAAAGAAGAATATTGTTTGGCGCTTTCAATTCTTTTTCTCTTTTTCTGCTTTCCTTCTCTGCTGTAGCATTTTTAGCTCAGTCATTACATTCAAAGTTCTGTAAACCCAGGCGACCTGAAAAGTAAGTAAATTATTATACCTTTACTTTACCATATACCTTTACTTACTCATTTAATGAAAGCACCTGTATGAATGAACACATACATACCACAATTATAATAGTATTCACCAGCAGTGGTGCTGAAAATACAAGTGAAATAAACATTCCTCTTGAATCAAAGTATTGGTATTTAGAAAAGAGCCTGAAAGAAATAAAAAGAAAATGAAAGACAAAGCTTTATTTAGTGTAGTTCACACATTCAACTTTCCCAGCAACTCTTCTATATGGACACTCTACACACCATCCCACATCTTGAGATCACCAAGCATAGGCCAGCATTCTACTGTATTAAGTCAGAAAAAAAGAGGCAGTTGATACTTCTCCTGTTATGACTAATAATATCAGTCTTTCTCTTCTTTACAGTTTTACTGCATAAAAGCTAACTAACATGACTGACTACAAGAGTGAATCACAAATCATGCTTATTCTGAAGCATCTGAAATTACATTTTAGGTATTTTGCTTACTTATATTAGAGAAGATAACAAAAATAATAAATGCAGCAAAGCTTTAATTAGGTCATGTATGCTTGAAGTGAAACATAATGACTACAATTAGATGCTAGCATAAAGTGGTGTTAAACACATAACTTTCAGTGATACCAGGGAAAGATTAATTCAATGCTTAAAACATCAAAATAAACCATCAGTTTAATTCTGGTATACAGGTTTAGTAAAACAGGTAAATATTAATGCTTGTTACACAGAGAAGTAAGTATATAAAGCAGCAGCGCTATTTTTGAGGAGTGTTTCTTCAGCTATTAAACATGAATACCAAAAAAAACTCCAAAAAAAAACCAACCCAAACAAAAAACCAAAACCCACCAAAAAAACCCAAAAAACCCCACCAGAGTTCACATTCTTTTCCCCTTAAACACATCACTCTGCTTTTCTCTCAGTTCTTTGACAAATTAGTTTACAAGCATCCATACAAGCAGTACAATAAATGCATGCTATCATTATTATTTCTTGTAAGTATGTGATAGCTATGTTGTACTGTATAGTTTTATTCAAAAAATGAAAGTGAGAACATTTACCTCCAATTCATGGCTGCTAATTCATTGATATATTCAGCGCAGTACACTAAGCCCACTATAAATGAAAGAAAAATATTAGATTCAGTATTCTATAAAAATGAAACTGCTCATAATACATCATCTAATCCAAATCCATGTGGTCTTGAACCAAAGCTAGTACGTGTTCTGCCAGTCAGCGATGATGACTGCTTGGCAAGGTCACTGTGGATTCTCAGGCTGATAAACCCTGACATAACACAAGTTGTTACTACAATGTGTAAGCCAGTCTTGCTCTTCCTCATGCCATCATCACGGCTGTCAGCAGGGCATATAGTGAACTTGCTTCAGAAACTAAAGCTGAGCGTATTCACTGAACGGCACCATTAGAACAAGGCAGAGTACAAAGCAACTGCTGGCTCTCAGTCGATTTCTTTTCTGTTTCTCCAGCACAGCAACACTTCATTGGGAAGCTGCGACACACACGGCAAATGACCATGCAGCCTTAATGTAACCTTACTCATCCCACTTCCTCACTAAGGCCAAGGTTTTAAGTTAGCACTTCATACATTTTCTTGGAAATAAAACAAATACATATTTTTAGGTCACAGCAGGTTCCACAGCAGATTATCACCGACAGACACAGGCACTGCCAGCGGAGAAGCTGCACTCACCCATGCAGAGGAAGTGCCCGACCTGCACCCGGCGGTGCTGCAGGGACGCGCACGTCAGCAGGAAGCAGAGCAGGTGGAAAGCCGCCAGCCCCAGCAGCCAGGGCTCCGACCAGTCCGTGCCCTGCGGGCAGAGGGAAGCGGCTCAGGCAGCGCCGGGACAAGGGCGCCCGAACGCGGCCGGGGTCGGTCACGGGCCGCGCCCCGCAGGCCCCCGCGCCAGGCTCGGCAGGGAGCGCGCCCCCAGCCAGGGCCTCCCCCTCCCCGCCGCACAGCCCCGCTCCCCGGGCGGCCCCGCTCCCCTCACCGCCAGCACGGCCGACAGCCCCGGCGGGCCGCGCACCGCCGGCTCCATGGCGGCGGCGCACCGCCGGCTCTCGCGAGACTCGGGCGGCCGCTTCTCCCGCGGGGCGATGGCGGGAAGGGGCGGCGGGGCTCGGAGCGGCTCCTCCTTCCCGGGGTTAACGAACCGCGGATGTCCCGAGGGTCGGGGCACGGGCTGAGGGGAACGAACCGCGGATGTCCCGAGGGTCGGGGCACGGGCTGAGGGGAACGAACCGCGGATGTCCCGGGGGTCGGGGCACGGGCTGAGGGGAACGAACCGCGGATGTCCCGGGGGTCGGGGCACGGCTGAGTGGCTCCGCACAGCCCCGTGCCTCCTTCCTCTGCGGTGCCTCGAGGCGCGTTGTGAGCGCCGGGAGCCGCCAGTGTCCCTCCGCTCCGCGGGGTCCCGCTGCACTCGGCGCGGGCTCGGTGGCCCGGCATGGGTGTTAACTTTCGGTCTCCTCTCAGCAGCACCCAGGGTTGGCTTTAGCGATGGCAGTGCAGGCAAAAAAAGAGCTGTTAGCCCAGCTGGGAGTTCTTTTAAAACAAACATAGTTCAACTCTCCAGGCAGGAACTTAAGTCCAATGGAAATCACTTCTCTCCAAGTAATGCCCATCGTGACCCCCCGCACACCTCGAGGCGCAGCGGGGCCTTGCTGTTCTTGCCACTACAGCAGAGCTCAAGGATACATTTTTTAACTTTGGAAGTTGAAAAAAGATTAAAATACTACAATGCAAAGGGAACACGACACAGGTTAAACCTCTAATTTATAATTCAATTTGCTAAATGCAGCTAGGTCTGGAAGAACCAACTATTCTTAAGACTTACCACTTAAAGACCATTTCAAACTCAGATTCCTAACAATGAAGCCAAATCTAATCTAAAGGATTAGATCTGTTGAACTAACACTATTTAAATGTATATTCATCTTCTGCTTTCATTATTTTTTTCTGACATTTTAGCTTATCAGATGTGAGACTTTGACTTTTTTTTCCCCCTGATGTTTTGAAGTGCATGCATAAGTAAATATTACAGTTACTCTTAATTTAGTTTACCATATAGCTAGATGTGGGTCATCAGTGTGACCTGGTCTCACTTCACTGTCAGACTTCTGCTATTTAATATGAGATACCTGAAACTGATATTTTTTTTATTATTATTTTTAGGTTTGTTTTTTTTTTTTTTGCTTTAGGTTTTGTTAGTCTTTTTCTCAACAGAAATAATATCTGGAGGCTAATCAAGGCTTTCACTGGAAATGTTGTAAAATTAAGTAAGGTGATAGATTTCTACTTCCATTGTCTTTAAATTGTTTAAGACTATGGGAGAAAAGATATTTCTATCCCACATTGTAGATTGGAAAACAATCACTGGAATAACCCCATGAACCTGTACAGGCTGGGGTCTGATCTGCTGGGAGCAGCTCCAGGAAGAAGGACCTGGGGTCCTGGTGGACAACAAGCTGCTCAAGAACCAGCAGTGTGTCCTTGTGGCCAAGAAGGCCTAAGGTATCCTGGGGTTGCATTGGGAAGAGCTTTGGCAGCAGGTCACAGGAGGTGATCCTGTCCTTCTACTCAGCCCTGGTGAGGCACATCTGGAGTGCTGTGTCCAGTTCTGGGCTCCTCAGGACAGGAGAGACGTGGAGCACCTGGAGTGGGTCCAATGGAGGACTCCAAAGATGATTAAGGGACTGGAACATTTCTATTATGAGGACATGCTGAGGGAGCTTGGCCTGTTCAGCCTCCAGAGGAGATGAGGGGGGACGTCATCAATGTCTGTCAGTATCTGAAGGGAGATGCCAGGCTCTGCTCAGTGGTACCCAGCAATAGGACAAGAGGCAGTGGGCAGAAACTGATGCACAGAAGTTCCTCCTGAACATAAGGAAGAACTTCACTGTGCAGGTGACTGCGGTGGCTACCTGCCACGACCTTGGGCAGATGGGATGAGCCGGCTGGCACTGCCCGTGTGAGGCCGGGTGGCCACCACGAGAGAGCACCCCAGGGGAACGGCGTCTGCCACCCTGGTGGTGCCGAGTGCTGCGGCATGGGTTGTGCAGCTTTGGTAGTTCCACACACTGAGAGGAGGTGAAGGGATGAGAGAAGGACACCTGCATGCGAGCCCGAAGAGTCTTTATTTTTCCCCAGGTGGGGCAAGAACAAAGGTGCTGTCTGAATGGGTGCAGGAACAAATGTTGGGGAAATCAAAGGTTACAGCAACTTAAAAAGGGGGTGGGCAGACAGGGGTGCAAACCTGTCTTGCCCAATGGGGATAAACCAAAGAGGGATGACACCAATTACAACAACCTATGATAATGTAACAGGGGTAGGCACAAGGTCAGGGGACAAGGTCAGGGGACAAATAGAAAAGCTAAACTGGGGTGACTGATACAGAACTTTCTCGAAGAAACTGGGGGTTGTTATAGGATTGACAGCCAAAAGGGTATAAACAAACTCAGCCTGATGGAACCAAATAAGGAGAAAACAGGGAGAGGTGAGAAGATTGGCAGATAACTGGGGAGCCAAGTGGCAGGAGCTTTTGGGGTAAACAACTTGGATCAAACCAACTGTGAGGGGACAAATGGGGGAGCATAAAGGCTGATCGACATTAATAAAACCAACTGACTACATCAAACCACACCACAACAGGTTACTGAGCACTAGAACAGATTGCCCAGAGAGGCTGTGGAGTCTCCATCCCTGGGGATATTCAAGAACCATCTGGACACAATCCTGTGCAGTGTGCTCTGGGATGACCCTGCTTGGCAGGGTTGGTTGGACTAGATGCCCCACTGTGGTCCTCTCCAACCTGATCCATTCTGTGACTTGTTTGGAAAGTCTTACAGCTAATAATAAATTTTTGTGTCTTGTAAATGAGGAATAAGTTTTATGTAATTGCTCAGAAATTTACTTCATAAACTGTCTGCAACAGCTGAAGGGCTTCAATGAATGCAGGATGCAGTCACTAAGTGTATGAGTGGAATATGCTGGTCCATGGTGAATCTGTGATGCAGACAAAATGGGTGAGTAAGAAATTATTGGCTTACTATGGCTACAACATGCTGAATTAAAAATTCATGTGGCTGTTACTTTCAGTCACTGTAGCATCAGCAGAAACTTTCCTATAGGGAAATAGTTATTTCTTTAAGACTAAGATAAAGTCAATAATGCTGTTTGTCAGCAGATGGTAGCAGATACATAAGTATTGCCGGATCTTTTGTGTGGTACATGTTCTCTTTGATTTATTTTTAGTGGAAAATGAAATGTGAACAGAAGTTACTTTAAAGGCAGTGAACAGATGCATTACTCTTTTATAGGGAAAAACTTGTGTATTTGTCTTTTTTATAGCCCCTTTGCAGAACCAGTATGCTACAATCAGGGCCTAATTTTTAGAATGTTCTACTAACCATAAGTATATAGTACCAATAATAATAATATAGAAATATTTCTGTTCTCATTATTATAAGTAACTTAAATGGTTTCTAAAACTCACTCTCAGTTTTCTGTTGCAAGACTCAGATTCCTATGTACACGATTATGCAAGCAGTTTGGATGAAAGATAAAAAGAACCTGGTTGGTAGAAGGAATTTTTTTTCCCTTACAACAACAGAAGAACTTCATTTACTTTACATAGGAAAGGATGTAAAATCAGACATTTATCTTAAATTTATGTTGCTGAAAAAACAAGCTGGCTGGTAAAAGCCTATGTATAATAGGGAGTCCTAGATTTAAATGCTAAATTATGTTTCTAGTCATAACTTTTACACACGTTTGTTAGCAGATCATATTTTGCAGTACTAGAAACCACACAGAAGTAAGCACCTGCTTACTTACCTTAAACTTTCTGCTGAGGGAAATGCAACTTGATTCTGCAGGAGATGTGAGAAGGTGTATGAATGAGTTTGAATAAGGCAGCCCCTCACCTCATCAGTCAAGGCAAAGATACAAGGTGACCACATAGTGACAGGTATTGACAGCCCAATTTCTGTGCTTTGTGACATCCCACTACAGAGTTCTGCTGTTGGGACAGGGACTGCTCACCTCTGCATCTCCTGTGAAGTTCTGTGTTGTACTGTCTTCAATAGTCTTTCCAGAGCTTTGGGAAGCATAAACAGCTTCACTATGAAAACATGCTGAGCCTGGGAGAGGAATCTGGATAACTATAGTTGCTGTGGTCACTTCCAGGACATAATTTTTATCTGCTCTGAAGATTTTCCTTATATTCATGGTTGTGCTGAAAAGCTGCCTTAAATTTGCATTTGCTCCCAGTGCAACAGAAGTGAGCCTGAGTCTGGTTACTCACTCTAATGCATTTCACTAAAATCCTTCACTTTCCCTGTCCTTGCCATTACAAAATAATGATTTTTGAGTGGTTCCATTATTTTTTGCAGCTGCTGTCTCTTTATCTTTTTATAGTACCAGCTTTTATTCGTCATGATGTGCTTGGAAAATAAGAATAATAATCATCGAGTTGTAAAGACTTCTTTAGAAATAGAATTTAAAACTGACTGGATTGCTTTATGTATGTAATTTGTGAGTTTCAGGTTTAGATGATGGATGCCACTTCATCTAAGCTTGAGGTTACCCCTGCTTTTGAGAATGAGTTTGAGTGGATGACCTCCAGAGGACTGACCTATATTGCTCTTTACTTTGCATTTCCCAGTGATATGGACTGGGACCAGCTGGCTGAGAAGCAGCACTGCTGAGCACAGCCTGGGAAGTCTGGGGGGTGCAAAAAGCTGAACATAAGCCAGTAGTGTGACCTGGCAGCTAATGCTATCAGCAGTTTCTTGGGCTGTATTAGTACACCCAGGAGATGAATGGATTCAGCATTTATCAGAACACATCTGTATCTACCTTTGGATACTTCAAATTTAAGGACAGTAGAGCTAAACAGTGAAAATTCAGCAGAGAACTGTCAAAATACTCAGGGCAAGATGAAGAACTTGTCTTGGGACAGGGGCTGAGGGACCTGGCCTTTTTTGGCCTGGTAAGAGGTGTCTCCAGGGGAAACCTAGTAGCAGCCTGACAGTGCTTATAAGGAGCTTGTAAAAAAGATGAAGCCAAGCTCTCCTG